GATTGCAGAGTTCACTTAAAATTCTGTTGACAAATAATTGATGGGATCAGAATCATTACTGAAAGAGAATAATGGTCAAACTTCATTTATCTTGTCTGATTAAAAGTGAGTTAGTGACAAGCCAGTATGTGGGCAAGAATCGTGACTATTTTTAACTGAAAAGAGTAGCATAGGTCTGCAGTGGGAAAACAACAAAGTTATCTTTGAAATAGTATGCCCTATAACCTTGAACTAATGTAAAAATAATTCTAGAAAAGTTGGAACATTTTATGAATAAATGTTTTATTGTGTGCTGATATGGCATTGCAATATAATGGAATTATATTACATTGCATTCATTTGCTGATAGAACAACACTCAATTGCAAAGATTCTCCCCTGTTTTGTTTATTCCTACAAGGGGGAATATCTTCCAGGGAAGATTGGCTCAGTGTCTGGAAGAGAACTTGAGGGCATGCAAGAGAAATAGCAATAGCACTTATACTTATATACTGCTTCACAGTGGTTTACAGCCCTCTCTAAGCAGTTTACAGAGTCTGCATATTGCCCCCAACAATCTGGGTCCTCAATTTATTCACCTCAGAAGGTTGGAAGCCTGAGTGAACCTTGAGCCAGTCAGGATCGAATTTTAGCAGTGAGCAGAGTTAGTCTGCAATACTGCATTCTAACCACTGCGCCAGCCCGGCTCAAATAGGGCAACTGAAAGCCTGAATAAAGAAAAGCCTGCTTGTGCAATGTTGGATGTGGTAGTATCAGTTTGATAATTATCAAATTATCAGTATTAATTACTATCTTTAGTACACATTTGGATACAGTCCCATGGACACTATCTTAGTTATTAAGTGGCAAAGTGAGGTAGTGACTTCACCCAACCGATGTTGGAAAACAGTGGCTGCAGTTTATTACCTAACAGAACTGAATGTGCTACATTTATTTATTTATTTATTTATTTATAATTTAATTTATACCCCGCCCTTCTCCTCATGGGACTCAGGGCGGCTAACAGCCTCATAAAACTACAATACAAATACAATAATTAAAAGCCGAATTAAAAAGAAATATTTAAATAGGCCGATCAATTAAAATTATCCTTAAAAATCCCCTGAAACTTTAAAATCATTAACANCATGGAGTTCAAGTGGTTTTAGCCTAAATCAGTGCTATGACCAAGAAGTATCAGCAGTACAGGCTACCACTACAAAATTCCTGACATATGGTTATCCAAACTCTGCTTAAAGTTCCAAAAACAAAGAAAAAAAATCCGCAAAGCAACATGTCCACTGAAACACAATATTTGTTATGAGGAAGTTTCTTCTAACGTGCTTGACCGCAGTTTCCATTGTTGATTCTAGAGAGAAGCAGAACAAATTCTACACTGTCTTGTGAATGCCAGTATTTTAGAATTTGGAAGGTTATTATTTTGCCTATCATTTATGTTCTCCAGACTAATATGTGTAATATAAATAAAAAAAACAAGCGGAAATTCAATTGCACCATCAGGGCTGTTATCTTGAATTTTTTTTTAACCCTGCACTAAACCCTGAAAATGTTTAGCTCCTTTGTTCATATTAGAAATTTTTTGCCAGTATCATCAGTGTTCTCTGCAGATAGCCCAATGTGTCACTGACTTTAAATTGTACCAAGAGTACAGTGTTGCTTCCAGCGGCCCAGATATTATGCTTCTGTTGACTGAATGATTAGCATTAGCTTTTTTTTTTAGCATATGTGATATCCGTAGATCCTGCTCATATGGGGATGTTTATTATTAAGTTTTTTGGTACCTCAGCCTTAAATTTATAAACATCTGTGTTGAAAATATCATCTTATTAGTTTTGACCCATTGAAACTTGCAAATCCAGGTTATTTATATAAATTTGATGAGGAGAAAGAGCCTCAAACAGAGGCTTAAAAGATTCCGGCAGAAACCTTCCATGATAACTTATTTGACTTTAATTCTATTAAACTTAATTCCTGTTTTATAAATACCTGGTTACTCACACCTGCATCACTACTCCCCCCCCACCTATTTCTCTAGTGATCCCACTGCTCTTCCAGAAGTTCACCCTTGGTGTTGTTTTCTTTATTGTTTCCAAAGGTGTATGGTGGAGAAAATTGTTCATGGGCAGACTGTGTTCAAGCTTACAATTTCTGAGAAAGAGACAGTGTTTTATTATCACACTATAAATGGGCTGCAGCTACCGATAAAAGTAATGACACTGGGGAGAATTCTGGTGAAGAAATGGAATCATCTTAGCGTGCAGGTGAGTAAAATAAATAAATAACCTTTAGCATCAGTATTAAACTCTTGTGTTATATGAGAGGGGCACCTCTGAACAAATGTTAAAATGTAGAATTTAACTTAAAATATTATGATAAAGTGAGGGACAAAGGATGATACATTTCTTTATTTCAAACTGCGCTTCTAACAGAGTTTTAACAATGACCAGTGTTCATTCCTGCATATAATATCCATCACGGGATTGTAAAGCAAGCAAGCATAGCAGTAAAATAGGTATTGAAATATTTCACAAGATACTTAGCTGTGCTGAACATAGCATTTGCCTTATAAAAAAAGGTTCTAGGTTGAATGAGAAGATATAAAGTTTCTGGATTAAATACCTAACAAGTATGAGATCAGTGTGTAATAGCACTGATTCTCTAATCCACCACTCAAGATGCTATATGCATTTACAGCATATTCCTAAATTTCAGTACTTTTCAGATTCCGTATGTCACTTCTTAGGGGAAAAAAAAGGCTTGTGTACAGAATGTTGTGCATCCTAGGCAGCTTTTAGGTGTTCAAAATAATGAAACTGTTCCACTGGCCGAAGGACACAGCTACATATAACTCATAATCAATCATTAGTGTCATACTCAGTGAGTTAGTATCTCCTTTGGGGCTGACATAATAGCACATAAAATTGAAAGCTGACCTCTGTACTGGTACTATGAGCAAATGCCATGAAGTAGTAGTATTCAGTAGCTCCACTGTGAACCTAGAGGGTCTAAAATTAGCATAAGGGTTTAGATCTAAAGGTTCTACAGAATTTATTAACTAGACCTAAGGTAAAAGCTGAAGTAAGAGAGGATAGATAGAACATTCTGTGCAGGAAATATGGAATTATAATGATACAGAAGAGCCATGTAGTGCTTCAGTCTGTCTTCCAAAAAGATGCTTCAGAACAAATGTAGCACCCATGTATATCTCTTTAAAGCAGCTTTATCAATTCAGCTGTTTTAATTGCAGAAAAGTCCTATTTTTCAAGTTCCTATGTTCTCCAAAGCACTTTTTTGGAGTCTAAAAATCTAAAGCATTACACAGTCCTACTGTACAGTATTAGAAGTGGCTATCATGTAAAATTAGATTATTTTGCTGTTTTCCTAATGTTTGTTTATATATTTCCTTCTATAAATGAATTAAGAAATCATGAACTCTGAAGAGTCTTAAGAGATGTATGTTGTCATTTGCACTTCTACCAAAACTAGAGTGAAATGGGTCATCTATAGAACTGCCATTTGGGAATGTTTTATTACATATTCAGTATCACTAATTATTTAATAATATCCATATTAGCTCAATCAGATTTGCATAACTTTGCCATGTTTTGGCAGTACACACATTAAAAGCCTTAGAAAGGAAGTTGAAATGCAAAATGTAAAGGGTAACTGGATTTGAATTACTCCTTTGGGAGCAAAATGCTCTTAGAATGCCTATTGAAATCAGCATTATCATTTCAATACATGTCAGATGTGAGCCTTTTTTTAGTTTAGCCAATATTTCTTTATAAATCTTTAAATCTTCCAGTTCTTTCAAGAAAAGGTTAAAGTACTTATGATTTAATGAGACCACTTTACATCATAACTGTTTGACTATCAAGAGAAAACTTGTCCTTTCCAATTTGTAAAATCTTCTTTTTCCCGCTTCTCTGGAATATTTTGGAGACTCTATATTTTATGCTTAATGACAAGTGCATGACAATTTCAAGTATACAGAACAAAACATTTACTTCTTTATTACAAGAAAAGCATAGAAAAGCAAAAAACTGCAGTCTCAGGCTCATGGTCTGCCATCAAGGATTTCTGTATTACTGCATTTTTATCAAAGACTCCTGAGCAAACTTTGTGGCATTGGGATAGGAAGACCTGTCCTTCCATAGATTGTGAACTACTTTAAAAATAGTAAGCAAAGAGTAACTATAAATGAACAGGATTCTCAATGGAGAAAAGTAAGAAGCAGAATATCTCAAGAGTCTGTGTTAGAATCAGTGTTTTTAATTTGTTCTAAACTATTTTGATAATCAATGAATTGGTCAAGTCTGGACATAGTATAAAAATATTCATGGTGGCAAGAATTAAAAATAACTGCTCAACTCAGTGTAATTTATTTCTAATTATATATTCATAGTGTGTCCTCTTCTCTTCTCTTCTCTTCTCTTCTCTTCTCTTCTCTTCTCTTCTCTTCTCTTCTCTTCTCCCCATCACAACTTTGAACAGTTGTTAAGTGACATAAGTCAAGGACTACATGTTTGCCATTCATTTGCTTAATGGATGCAGGTGGCTGACAAATAGCAAAAGAATTAAAGTATTAAAGAACAGAAAAGTTAGAACAACAGTTTTAAAAGGTCAGTGAAAATAAATACATTTTCACTCTCTTTAAATTAGGTAAGCAGGGGCCTTGCTTCAACTACAGTGGCAGTTTATTCTATTTTATAAGCCTGTACCATGAAGAAAGCTAAATTTGTTGTTGATGTCAAAGCTAGCCTAGTAAGACCAATAAAAAACAGACCACTAATAAACAGAATATGTTGGGTAGACAGTAAGGAAATAGGTAGTTCTTTAAATAGCTTAGACCTAAGCCATGTGTTTCACTTATTTTGGAATTTATATGCCACTTTTAAAATTAGTTTTCTCACCCACTTTATTCTACACTAGAAACAGGTTAATGGATAGCACTAGACAGGCCACATTTGAACCCAGAATATGATCTAAATCAAGAAGTAAATAGCAGCATTTGATTCAATCTTGCAGAGAAGCTAATTATTCCTATTAAACTTGATGTGCATTCCCTGGAATATAATCTGTAAACCATAGGTAGAATTTTAGGATTAGGATCAGTGATCTGTATATATTAGCTGTATATCTGTCTTATCTATCTAATTTATCAAAAAGATATTAGTTTGGTGTTGTGGAGAAAATGTTGGGCTAGAAATTAAGAGAGTGGGTTCTAGGCCAGCCTTAGGCATGAAAGCTAACTGGGTGACTTTCACCCAGTCACTGTCTCTCTTTACCCAACTCAGCTAATAGAGTTGCTGTTGTGAGGAAAATAGATAGCAGGATGTTCATCATCTTGAGTTAAATATATAAAAAGGCAGGATAAAAATGTTATAATAATAAATAACATCACAAAAATAATTTAAAAAGCGACAACAGTAAAATAGCTTGCTTCACTGTATAACCTAGAGTTACATGCAACACTTTTCAGAGCAACTCTCTATAAACTTAAAATAACTTCATACTCTATATTCATAAATGAAGCCTAAACACAAATCATATATAGAGAAAAAAAATGTAAAGTAGATTAATGAACAGAGGTGGTTGAAGGGTAGAAATTCATCTGGAGTGACAATGACACTAAGTAGGTGCTGGGCAATTTCTATAGTATCCTGTAATAGTGTTAGAAGTGTGTGGATAGGTGGAAGATCGAGAAATGCTCTAGAACAGACATGTCAAACTCGCAACATCATGTGACATCGCGCAACGTATTGGGATGGTTTTGCCATTGCCAGCAATGGGGTGGGTGTGGCTTCCGGATGATGCGTCCGACCCACGGGACGGCAGTTTGACACCCCTGCTCTAGAAACAGAAAAGCCAAGGCCAAGAAGTCAAAGCTATTTTGCATTGGGTAGCTATAGGTATTATGTAGGCCTAAAATCACAAAATAATTTTAAAGAGATGTGGTAGAAAAATATTTAAATGCAGTTTTTTAGGGATATATATATGTATACAAGACTTGCATCCTTCATCAATTAGTATGCAAAGTTTTATTTTGAAAACCAAAGTAACTAAATACTGCAGGCTTTACATAGCCCAGTATTAAATCCTGCAACAGATTAAAGTCACTGAATCATATATTAGCTCAACTGGATGAACCTATACTGTAGGTCTTATCCCGATGATGTGCTGTACCTAACAGCCTGCAACCTGATCACATCTCCTACAAATAGTCCTACCAAAATTTTAGTAATTGGCTCTTAAGTCACAATTTCAGGAATATTTGATTTCTATTCCCAGAGACTTTATCCCTGGAAAGTTCATGACAATGTTAGACTTTTCAACATTGGCCAGTAGCCAGTAGCATGGGCCAGGATTGGCCACTGTAAGATATCCTTTCTCTCTTTGACAGTGGGTTCAATAATCAAGAGGCTTGCATTTTTAGTCACTTTTTTCCCCTCAGTTCTTTTCCCCAGAGGTCAGTGGACTAATTTAAGACATTCGTATGGCAGGCCTGATTGGGTAGAATTAATTTAACCCTCTAGAAAACTGGATTCTGTTTGAGGCGAAATTGAATTCCATTAGGGATTAATAAGGTTCTTATTAATAGCACACATTGTTTTGTTATTTTTGAAATATTCCTCTGCACTGAACAGGTCTTTGCAAGTTGCTCATAAAGAACCACTTAGATTAACTGAAATAGCTGAGGCACTTTCAGGGTCAGACCATATTTTGGTTATGTTTTTTTCCTGATCTCTCTCTGAGTGTGGTTAAATTTATGAATATCTGTTCATTCTTCGACATCACGTTAATTGCTTCAGATTGCTCAGTGAAGTCCCATCATTGTTTTCTTCTTTTCTTTTAATTTATGTAGTTCTTTGAGGGATTCAGGTTGAACTAGTGGCCCTGTGTACAAAAGAAAAAAAAAGAAAAGTCTTGGATTGAAGGAACACCATTTCCCATCGAGAAGGGATTAGCATTGTAGGAGATAGTGAGGCGGAAAAGTAAAGGAGGGCAAAGAGAAAAGCTAAAATATCTTTTAGACAAATGCTGGAAGCATATGTAATAAGACTGCTGAATTGGAGTGACGTGTTTTCAAGGATAAGAAAGATATTATTGGAATAAGAGAGACAACCAAGAAAATGAAAGGGGATTTAAAATGCCAAGATAGAGAAAGAGTTTTAGTGCGGGAAGGGAACCAATATAAAGCTGGAAGAATTGTAGTAATATTGGTGAAAGATGATACTGAATTTGCAGCAGTTACTAAAAA